ACATACCTCTCAACCAATCAGATGATTTTGGCAGAAAGTTGCTATTTAGTATACCATTTTAAGCATTCACAACTGAAATGCAGAGTGAGGTCGATGCAGGTAATTATTTTATTATTTTAAAAATAATTATTTGGGGGATGAATTATTTAATTTTTTTTCAAAAAATTTAATTTTTATTTTATTGGGTTGGGTTTTTTTTCTCTATTCAGCTCTTGCTGGGTTTTTTTTTTTAATTTAAGCTACAATTAATGCAAAACATTTTTTATAAATAAGAATCATATTTTTGAAACAAAAATGCTTCGGGGACATCGTATTCTTGAGAAAATGTCCAAGTAATTAATGTTTCACCGTTCGCCTTATACAAAATTGAAATAAACAGATGAAAGGAAGGGGGATATTTACTTTCATGTTTTTAATATAATGTAGAGTAACCAAAGCAGGATCCAGTACTCACAGGTGCCCCCTCCCACCCAACTTGAAGTTTTTTTTTCTTTTTTCGCTTTTGTATATTATTTTTGCCAAACTTATATACATACGCTTTTTAATTTATCAACAAGTAACGATTTCACGCACATAGTGTCTTGGTTGATACAGTATAAACCTATCCCCCAAAATACGATTTTCAATTTTTTTTAAGGGGGGGGGGTCAAAGTAATCGTTTTTAAACTGCCACACTCCCTCCTTTCTAAATTTTCTTAATCGGACACTCATAACTTTTCGTTGTAAAATTTTATTCTTCAAATTTTGAGTAATTACTAACAGTGCTATCATGTAATTGAACGATTGTTGTATATAATATATGGATATAGCTTTCCGTCACCACTAAAAAAAACCGTACTATCGTTGATATTTTGCAGATACAGTACAGTTTCTGTCATTTGCATAAGAAACGCCCACAAAAAGTGTTCTGTATCGCAGTTACAGTATGCTTGACTTCAAAGGAAAACCACCGGGTCCTGTCACAATGCAAAGACATTGCACAAAACTAACGCTATCCTGAATATTGATTAATTCATTTTCACATGAATATAAATATAATGTATATATATTCAGAAATTAACACTGTTTTATCTTAAAAAGATACTTTCTGAATTGTAATAGAAGACTGAGATTTTCCTGAAGAATATTAATTGTGAATTTTAACGTCTCATTAAAACTACATACATTTGTACAGCAATATGTTAAAATTTGCCATTGAGAAATCAACAAATTAAATTTTTAGCCGATGGGGGGGGGGGGAATTGAATTTAAGTTCTGTTTCTTGCTCAAGACACCTGAATTGAAAATTTCAGAATCTGGATTTTTTGAAATGACACATCATTTGTAAATATGGTTTGTCTTTTTATGGATTAAATGCCCAGCCAATTAAATGTTTATTATGTTTATAGTGTGTATCTTTTATTCTAGTTTTGACAGTATGGTACAATTACAATTTTTTGTGTTTTAAGAGGCCTATCATAAAGATTTGCATGGATCTGTAAAAAAATATATAATTCATCAGTTCTATAGATACAAATATTAAAGACAATTCAATGAAAGCTTTTTTGCTAATTAACTTTTTGACACTAATTTAGGTTGAAGCATTGCCTCCAACTCTAGTACTACGACTGTATACAACCACTCCTAGTACTACCACCACTAGTACATACCACTCCACAGTTTGACCACTAGTACACCACTGTTAGTCCCACTCCAAGTGTTAATCTGACCAAAACTGTGGGGGCCAAATCTAACTTGATCAGGCTGTGGACTTAGGAATTAAGTTTGACCACACAAATGTTAAGTTTCAGGAGAAAGGCATTATTGCAGGTAAATATTTAATCTATACATGTACACATTAACTACTGCTGAGTTTAGTGCATCTCATGAATATTTTTTGCCCCAAGTTGATACTTTGATGAAGAATGCCAATTTTAAATTACTTACCTGCGTATGGTATATCAAATTTGCATGCAAGGCAGGGATATAGGTTCTATTGTAATAAGACTGAAATTGCATGACCACTGAAAGCTATTAGTATACTTTTGTTGCATGCTATTTGTTGGTATTTTCCATCTTTATGTGTATGCAGAGTTACCTTTATATTATTATTATTTTTTTGATTTTGAAAGCTTTTTACTGAGGATTTTCCTAAATCACTTAATGTTTGTAATACATGTATATTAATTTATTTATCTTGGTCATAGTGTTGTTTTTAATCCTAGAGAAACAAGGTTTAGTTGTTTTGTCAGAGATATGCCTCAATATTTGGACTTTGATTTAGTATTGGCATTTGAGTAATATAAATTTTCTTCTGTGACAATTTCTGTATCCTAATTAAGGTACACAGACTCTCTAAAAGAGAGATAAATCTAAATAAATTACTTATTCCTATATACAGTAAAACTCGGTTAGTACAAATATGGATATTGCAAATTCACGGATATAGCGAAGTTATCTTGGATCCCCAGATGTACTAATTTAATGAATTTCTTATACGGATATAACGATTTACGGATATAGCAAAGTAATTTCAGAGGTCCCAGTGACTTCGTTATAACCAAGTTTTACTGTATATATACAGGGGTATATATATATTAGTTTTTATTTTCAAGACAGAAAAAAATATATCTGTTAAAAAAAATTCTGTATCCTCAAAGTTGGTTGTAAACTTGTGTACTCTTGACTATTAATTACTTGTAATTTTTGAAAAAAAAAATCATAATCAAAATTGATTGAAAGTGAACAGAGAGCCAAAGACCCTTCAAACACCGAAAAAAAAAAAGCAAAAACTTAATCTATATGTCTTGAGGAAGTTTGTGAAATAAATTCCATGATCCGGATTGTACACTTATGTTTTGTTGAAAATAAGAAAACTGCATGAAGGCATGGAAACTGTAAAGGAAGAATATATTTTTGGGAATTCAAAGTAACTCTCTATTTTCTTATAGAACATGTCCTTATGACTGATAAATTCTCTTGTTAAAATCAAGTACTTTGTTTTAAGAGCTTGATAAACATTTATGGAAATCTCAGAATAGAAAATATCATGACATTATCTTAAAATTGTTTAAGACATCAAATTTAGTTCCAGTAAGGCCTCAATAGCTAGTTCCTAATCTGGATTCAATTTTGAATTTCCAGATATTTATAGAATACCTAAATTATCTAAGAACTTGATATGGATTAGAGATTATCCAGGGTCATTATTGAAGTATTTTGATGATTTAGCTATTGTTAACTTTTCTGTTTTCATAGTGCAATGCATGTATAAACTAAAGAAGATTTTTCCCAGATAGAGAGTTCCATGATGAAAGAATGGTTGCAGTAGACTTTAAAAAAAATATAATTTGACTTAGATTTGAGCATATTTGTTTCAACCCACATTGATTGGCATTTTCCTGGTCTGCTCATAGTACATTATCTAGACATGTTTTAAGTGTTGAATGCATTGTGCAGTACTCTCTGATTGACCTTGGAGAGTCTCTGTATATCAAGTTACATGTTTTGGATTTTTCTAAGTGAAACTCCCACACAGTTTGAGGAGGGGCTGCAAACAATTAAGTGGGACTCTGATAACCTCCAGATAACTCCCTCCCACTCTGTGGGGAACACACTGGGTTGTGGCTGCTGAATTAACATGTGACGTGTGTTTGTAATAGATACATATAGATGACAATCTGATACAGGGGGAATTTTCAGCATATGTTCTGGAAAAAAGATATCATCACATGTTAAATGTATGTGCATTTTGGTGCATGTTTGAAATGATTTTATATGCATTGCATCGAGTGCAGTCTGCATTCAAAGAGCAGGCCTCAGAGTTTAATTAAGCATTGAATTCATCTTTTTGGATGTCTTCGGTCCTATAACCTGGCCGTGCCGACAAATTAAATACCGCGCGTTAGCGCGGTATGATGAATTGTCGGCACGGCCAGGTGTGTTACAGGACCGAAGACATCCAAAAAGATGAATTCAATGCTTATATTTACATTCTCTAATTTTCAAAATGAATTACCTAGTAATACCTACTTTCAATCCAAAATCATTTTCTGCTGTTTTTCTGGATAAAATAATTCATTTAAATATTAAAGAAGCAAATCTTACCTATTTGGACTATACCAGTATATGATTCGGTCAAGTTGATTCATATGATATTATGTTATTCAGGTTATTTGCACATTTAAGTAGCATTTCTAGCATGTACGTATCAAAAATGTCATCTTTGCTACGAACATTTGATACTTAACTGCATTGTTCATGTTAAACAGTTAGACTGTTGTGTAGATCATCATTATACAGATCAAAGTTTTTTGATTTTTTATATTGTTATTTCATTACACAGATAAGAAAGCAGCTGAAGAATTGTATTCTAAAAATTAAGTTTTTCTCCTTTGTTGACAAAAAAAAAAATAAAAAATAGTTTTGACAATTAACTGTGGTATATCAGTGCCATTTTAAAAATCATTTGTTAATGTTATTCAATTTGTGTTTAGATCTAATGATAAGTCAAGTTAATATTTGATTACATTGATTAATATAAACAGCAGTTTAAATGTTCATATTTAATGCATAATGTGAACAAAGAACCCCCCAGGATAAAGTTTTGATTAGTAGTAAATACCACAAACAAGGATAAAGGATACAATATTAAAAATGCATAAGTTTAAGGTTGTTCTTTTTTTTTTTTTTTTTTTTTTTGCCAAAAAAAAAAAAATTAAATGAATAAATAAATTTTAAAAAACACCCCTCCCCCCAAAAAACTATTCAAATGAAAAGAACTGCATGAAAGACATTGAAGAAGTCATACACTGAAAGATTACTTTAGGGATATTTGGAAGATTGAGCATGAATGTATGAGTATGAAAATTGAAAGAATCTTAAGTTTGTATTGCACAAAATGCCTTCTTTAGATTGATATATGCCTATGATATGAATGAAATAGATTTGCTGTGATAATTTTTATTTCTGACACTGTTTTTATGGAGACTTTGCTTAATCTGACTATATTGTAATTACAGATAAATTGAATCAAGGAGAGGGGTCTGTAAGCTCAGTGGTGGGCGGGGACACAGACTCAGACAGTACTGGGAGTGATACAGGTAAATATAAGTATTGTCAGGTCAGTAGATGGGAGTGATACAGGTAAATATAAGTGTTGTCAGGTCAGTAGATGGGAGAGATACAGGTAAATATAAGTATTATCAGCTCAGTACTGTGTGTGACACATGTAAATATAAGTATTGTTAGCTGAGTGACACAGGTAAATATAAGTATTGTCAACTCAGTATTGGAAGGATACAGGTAAAAAAAAGTATTCTGTGATTGATATCAATTGTGTATGAATGACTCTAAAAAATGTATGATTCAAAACATATCTTTGTTATTTCATCATCAAAGTCTTTAAGTTTTGTATGATATAGTAAAATATTTTTTTCAGGAATTTTAGCAGGGATTATTGTAGGAGGAGCTATCCTAATTTTGATAGGAGCCATTGGAACTCTTTTGTTAAGAAGGTAAGTCAATATTTAAACTGATGCCTGAACTTGAGCAAAACATGGATAACATAAAAAGGTTCTTGTAAGAATGGAATTACCATTGAATAGTTTTGTGCAACATAATAGGATGTTTGTTAAGCACATTTCAATGACATTTGTTCAATAGTATCATCAAGAAAAAAATTGTATTCTTGAAATCTTTGGTACCTTTCTGTCTGACTGAGTGTATGAGAAATTGAAATTGTTGTTGAAAAAGTTGATTTTTTTATTGCATAAAGTATTGGTATATAAACACATGTGGTCAAATATGTCAAATTTCAAATGCCCATTAGTTTCATCACAGGAGTGGGTGTAAAGGACCTAAGTTTACCACCTTGTGGAACTCTCCATTTATTCTGTTTAGAGTCAACTTTAAAAGCTCTAATCTTTACTAATGCATTATATATTTTTTTTCTGAGAGTTGAACAATGTTTAATTTGGGAATGTTATGGTAAGGGGAATAACTCAATTTACTATTTGTAGGAGAAGGCAGAAAAAATTTGAGGAACCATCAGTCCAGTTCCAAAACCTAGCCTACTCACGAGTGACCAGTGGTGGACAGGACGGGAATATGGCCAGCAATGTTTACATGGACACTAACGAGATGAATCGTTTATATGAGGAGGTAAACAAACAAGTGAATCACGGTGTGAACTGCTTCAGTGGAACTGTGCTAGACATTCAGGTACCGAGATCTGAGTCCGAGGACCAGGAGAACGCCTGCTGCGGGGGAATGTCAGAGGAAAGTGATCTCAAAAAGCTAAATAACCTCACTCACGTGGTTATACCAACAGACACCAAAAATCCTCCTGACATAACTGAGAACCATTACGTAGATATGAGCACAGCAAACAAAGCAAAGGAGACAAATCGCCTCATGGAAGCCAGTCGAGTGGTGGATCCTAGCAAACCCTCAAACCTGGGGGTGGAGAGGGAACCCATGCCCCTCCCAGTATATGCTAACAGTTTGGAGAATCTTCGAGAGGGAACCCTGGAACTGACCAGCACATTGTCATCACAGTCACAGGAGTCTACGTACATCAACAGAAGGGAGGGGTTTGAAGTGGATGAAGATGGGTACATGAGTCCTAGATCCACCCTCCACAGTGACAGTGACACAGAGTTGATGGGGGCAGATAAAGACCCCCTCTATGATGAAATTCGTTAAATTCAGAGCAGATCTTGTCTGTAAATTAATGTGTTCTGTTAATCAGTTGACTGTTAAATGTTTGGAAAAGCCTTCCTAGTTTGTTTGAATAGAAATATTGAGAGGAAAAATATCTGAATTTATTACAATATATAAAATAAATTTGTAAGAATGAAATATTAAGAAGAACTATGATAAATGAATTATGCTGTTTTGAGAAATCAGTACATCTACTGTTCAAATTTTAAATATCCGTATCAAAATTAAGCACTTAAGTACAGCATTATTTGAGAAAACTGGTATGTAATTTGCAAAACATATTGGCACATGAGAGGAGCTTAAAAATTGTGATTGGGATGCATGGTTCATGTGTAACAGTGTAAAAAGTTAGAAATTTTGACTTGTCAATGAATTTTCCTTTTCTATGCTAATTTGGTAAGTATAGTTGTTAATAAATTTAGAATTGTTTTTTTTTAATGAATTTTGTATGTATTTTTGCCATGTATATAATATTCATTATTGTGTACATGTACTTCAGTATTCAAATCTTAGTTCATGACAAAAAATTACACTCATTTTACATACATATAAAGAATTCGACCACAACAGATTTATTTTATATATCTCTTGGAGTCTTTACAGTTTGTGTATTTTAAAGAAGAAAATTTGATTTTAATATGCTGATTATCTGATGTACATGTCTTAGAAATTGATAGGAGAAATTCATGATGTGCCTAGTACTGCCCATTGTAATGTGATATTGTTTATATATATCAAATATTTGCATATGATTTCGTGTGTAATCATTTTGATACAGAAAATTGCTTAGTTACTGATAAATTTTAGGATTATGTTTGAATTATTTATCGCGATAATCATTTCACATGACATTAAAATCAGAAAGGGTTGTCAAGAAAATTGTGCATTAAAAGAATTACACTGCTTTACTCTGTCATTCACCATTTCTTAGGGGACCAAATATTTACTAAAATGGCTCATCTAATTGTTTTATTTACATTCCTTTTTTGAATTTTGAAACTGAAAGATTTTTTTAAAAGTAAACCGCTGAGTTTTGTGTGTTTATTTATAGGTCAGTGTCTATATCAAATGATATTTAATGCTTTTGTAGTCCCTAAAAATTGTTATTCAATAACATTTTTTTTACATATGATATATCATAACAATATGCATGTTAATGTTGCATTGTAACCAAGCTTTTGTGAACTTTATTTTAAACAATACCTGACCTTTTTTTTATTGTCTTTGTTTTTGAAGATGTTATCAGTTGTTTTATTTAGTGATTTACAATTTGTAGAAAAATCACAATATTAATGATTTTTACTCACTTTTTTCCTTATTATACAAATGAAAATTTGTATATTGTGTTTTTTATCCCAAGAATAAAGAGCAACAAGATATAACCAGGTGTTATATATCTCTGTAAAGAGGTTCAACGTAGTCATTTTTAGTTCACATGAGCCAAAAACTCAAGATAGCTTTTCTGATCAAAATTTGTCCATTTTCTGTTGTTGTTGTAGTAAACTTTTTGCAATTTCTTACTTTTTTTCAGATCTTTAGGGTCAAATTCAACCAAAATTGGCTCAGTACTTGGAAAAAAGTATTCAATTTATTGAAATGAAATGCCCACTTTTCTTTCCAAGGGGAAATGTTTTTTTTAAAAAAAAGTCAGTATTGGGTGGGTTCATTTAGAAATTTTCTCAAGAACCACTGGACCAGAAAAGATTGAAAGCTCCTGACATAGTGTAAATTTAAGTTGTTTTTTTTTTTAAAAATCACTACCCAAGGGGTAGAGTGGGACCACTATGGGAAATCAAAGTTTTAAATGGGTATAAATGGGTATGAAAACCCTTAAAAAATCTTCTCAAGAAGAGACAAGGCTTGAATTATTATATTTATTTGGAAGTATCCTCTGGGGATGTAGATTCAAGTTTCTAGAAAGCAGGACCACAGGGAATTAAATTTCAACATGCATGCATATATGAATAAGAATGCCTTTTCAGATACTGGAATACAGAAACAAGTCGAGATCGTCAGCATAAACGGTACTGTTTCCCTTACTTGAAATGGTTCCTGTTTTGCAACATTTGTATTTATGAAGTCTGCTTGCCTGTGCACGTTAGCCGATCTTTGTGTATTGAAATTCTATGGGTATTCAACATACTTTATCATGCTTGTATGGGTTTTTTTTTTATTAGAAAACAATAGAAAGTAAATTAGACAAAGCAAAGAGTGACTTATAATTGGTAAAGTTTTGTCTGGCATTGTTTTTGTAATTTAAAAAGACAAAGAATGAACGGACACTAAACATGGATTAAATGCGCAGCCCATTAAAAATGACTGTTTAATATTTCGTCAAATGCTACAAGACACTGCAAAAAAACCTATGAGATTATTTCATGCACTATTTTTGTCACAAGTAAATCATGCTAGTTGTTTGAAGCAAAATGGCAGGAAGAATAATTAAAAACGTCCCCAAAACAAATGGATATCTAGAGAGATTAGATAGGTAAGTTTAAAAACAAAAGAATTAAAATTATGTTGAATAGTTCCTCTAGAAGTTGCGTCTGTGAATTTTTGGTTACTTCATGTCATTTTATTTATTGTAGTACAGAAGGCTCTAAACTAGAGATAAATGAAAACTTCAGACAGGATCTGGAGGGGGATACGGGAGGAGAAACAGAGGGGGAGACCGCCGACCCGTATGTGTATTAGTATATATGGCACGCAAAATCCACAAATGAGCTAAACATAGTTTTGCAGTTGATAAACTAGGTTTATCGACTGTAAACTTTAGTTTACAAACCGTGAACCGTAGTTAACAATTCATTAACTATAGTTTTCATCTGTAAAACTATATTTAACGGTCGTTAACTATAGTTTACGAATGCTTATCTAAGTTTATTTGTCTGTAATAAAACTTTAACAATGGATTTTGTTGATAAACATAGATTCACGTCTGTAAACTATAATTTACAATCGTGAACTATCGTTAAGACTCCTTAATCATAATTCCACAAATCGTGAAATTATATTGATCAGATCGTTAACTATACTTAAGAGTCGTAAACCATAGTTTACAAATCGTGAAACTGTATTTATCAGATAATCTATGTCTTGCAATCGCAAATGAGTGTTTTCAGTGTTAAGTATAGTTTACGGTTCTAAAACATAGATTATCGCGTTAACTATGGTTTAACAGATGTAAAATATAGATTAATATAGATTAAAATATAGATTAATTGTTAACTGTAGTTTACAGTCCGTAAACTATAGTTTACATCCGATAATCTAGGTTTATCGACTGTTAAACTATGTTTAGCTCATTTTTGTGAATTGGCGTGCCATAAGTATATCTACAGTTACAGTGTATACAGCCCTCCATTTTCTGGTACATTGACATTGTATAATTATTTTCTGTGAAAAACTTTCCAAAGAATTCATTCTGAACATAGCCTTCCAGCAGGTACAAAAATATTTAACGTTTTTAAAACATTTCCAAATTGTTTTGAAAACATTTTTTAAAATAAAGTTTAAATAATGCGATTTTGTTTGTTTTTAAAATATCTTAGTAATGTATTTTAGCAACTGCATTGAAAATTTTTTTAAAGGGCACGATTTTTTTTTTATGTTATAATGACATACATGTATTTCTTTAAGATTAGTTTTTTTAACTTAAAAAAATCTCGTCGAGATATGACTACATGTATAACTTTTTGAAATGGGATTTAAAATGTTATAGTTAGAAGAAACAATGTTTTGAATTATTCTAAAATGTTCTGAAGAGCATGTTTTGAACAGAAGATAATATGAAGATATTAAAATCAGCAGAATTCTAAAGTGTTGATGTAAAAGAAACAGGATTGATGATCAAGTCCCTTGTTTTATTTATTCTCCGTAATTAACTATATTGATCTTTAAGGATACCGGAGGATGAGGATGTGCACGCCAAGTTTCAGGACTGGGACTCAGTTCTGGAGGAGATGGAGGTACACGGAGAGGAGGGTGGCCTACCTGACAATGATGGTCCAGGAATAACCAAAAACGATGATATAATCAGTGTCAGAGAAATGGAGGATAATTCCAAGAAAGAACCAGAAGACAATATGACACCGCAGACTAATATAGCAGAAGAAAAAGATCAGAATATAAGTTCACCCGTTGTTGTGTAAGTAACATTATCTAGCGACCATTGATTAATTATGAGAATGATACTTAACTGTGTTTAAACATTTAAGAATATCTTTTATACAGAGACATTTTTGTAACGAAGCACCTTTGTGACGACATCAGTTTAACGCTTCCATCAAGTCTTGCTGGTAAGCTCCAGCTATTTCAGGCCGTTCCTTGGACTACATCACAAAGATCTGCCATGCTACATCAAATAGATCTGGACTTCGTAGACAGGTTTGAGTCCGACATCTACTCTCTAGTGCCCACTGATGTGTTGATGAAGCTTCAGGATGTGGACATGGAGAGCGAAGACACGATCTGGAAGGATTATGACGTCTTCAATGTTCCTCAATCCTATTTGGATGATATCACGTTTAAAGTTTCTTTGAATAATTACAATCGAGAGTCCTCTTACAATCTCTGCGCCAAGATAAAGACAAAGAAAAAGTGGATTTCAATCGATGTAAAATATGATGAGGTAATATAGTCAATACAAATCTTTAACTATATCTCATATATTAGTATGTTTTCTATTTCACTAGGGTTTCCACTTTTGGCTCTCTCTTCTATACCACAGGCTGGGTATGTCGCTTTCAACTGCTGCAGTGTATACTCTGTTTGTATCATTGCTTCACCTAAGATTGAGAGATGCACCCTAACTCCTGAGGGCTACAGGTTTGTCCCAGAAGATGACGCCAGCCTCTACATTGACTTTCCAGCAGGAACAGTAAATAAAAACGAAGACATAAAAGTACAGGCAAGTCCATTTGTCGATCTTAAATATCAAAAATTAACTAGAACTGTCCAAACGGGACAAAATACCCCCGCTGGGTTTTTCAGAAGTGCTAAATCATGAATATTTTATGGATCTAAGAGAAGAGAGAAATGCTACAACATTTTTAGTGCAAATGTAATTGCTCATTATATTTTTTTATAAATGAAACGAAGGCGCAGCCTAATAAAAAAAAATAGACTAAACATACGGACCAGACACGAATTATGAACTTTTTCTGTCAGTGACCTTGAACTTGCATAAATGACACAAAGTCATGACACAACCTCAGGTCATAAGCAATGTTTGTGTGAAGTAGTAGATTCCAGTTTTTCCATAATAAAGAAAGACATGGACCAGACACAAATTATAAAATTTTTCTTCCATTGACCTTGAACTTCCTCAAATGACCTTGGGTCAAGGTCTTGACACACCCTTAGGTTATAAGCAATCTTTGTGTGAAATGAGAACCTACCAAGTTTATCCATAAGAAAGATATGGACCAGATATGAATTATGAAATTTGTTCTTCCCGTGACCTTGAACTTCCCTAAATGACCTTGACCCAAGGTCATGACACATCCTTAGGTAAGGAGGAATATTTGTGTGAAATGAGAACCTACCAAGTTTATCCATAAGAAAGATATGGACCGGACACGAATTATGAATTTGTTCTTCCCGTGACCTTGAACTTCCCCAGATGACCTTGGGTCAAGGTCATGACATACCCTTAGGTTATAAGCAATCTTTGTGTGAAATTAGAACCTACCAAGTTTATCCATAAGAAAGATATGGACCAGACATGAATTATGATATTTTTCTTCCAGTGACCTTGAACTTCCCCAAATGACCTTGGGTCAAGGTCATGACACATCTATAGGTCATGTGCAATCTTTGTGTGAAATTAGAACCTACCAAGTTTATCCGTAAGAAAGATATGGACCGGACACGTTTGCACAGACAGACGGACAGCTAGACAGACGGACAAGGTGATTCCTATTTACTAGTATCCACCCCGAAGTTTTGGGGGGGGGGGGTATAATTAGGATATATGACTAGATTGATTGCAAAGAATCTGTTTTTATAAAACTTTTATTGAGTGGTGACGTCCTTCTTTCAACAATCTTTTCTTTTTTACAGTTGATACCTGTAGCAAAAAGAGATATGAAAAGGCGTTTAGATGCACACCCAGAAATCTACGATATTTTAGCAATGTCCAAATGTATACTTGTTGACCACACCGTGGACAGATTTCAGAAGCAGATGGAAGTTCAGTTTACCATGGATAATGTCACATCTGTTGATCCTGAGGACCCTGACTTCGAGCTTGCTTTCTTCTACTGGGAAAATGGCATTGCCAAGAGAGCAACTGGAAAAAATATTAAGAGGAAGAATGGAACTTTTTTAGTAGACGTTGACCATTTCAGCGGGTATTCTTCCTAGTTATAAAATATATGATCATAATGATGAAACACATTTTACAGAAAGAATAAATTGCAAAATTTAATTAACATTCTTAATCGAAAAATTACTTACCTTTTGCTTTTTGCTGTCTTTAAAGTGTATCCTGTGCACTCGTCAGAAGGAATGCCAAAATGTCCCCGTTGGAACCTTACCTTGTCTACGGAATGATCCATACATGTACCTTGCTCATCTTTATTAAAAGACGGAAAGAAGATATGTTATCTTTATGGTGCGAATGTGCCAAACGTGAAATGGCGAGAACTGTTGCGGAGAAAAGAATCAAAGACCACGATTTAGAAGAAATTGACTGTAGTCATTCAAAAGATATATTTGTGAGAGAAGGTCAAAGGATTCGAATTGATGTCAATGGATCAGTCCAGTTCGTTCGTGAAATTCCCAAGTCATTTTATTTATTGACTTTCATTCCTGTAGCAGAAGACAACCATATCTATTTTCCTCTCCAAAAGAATGTCCGAATGGGTTCTGTTCCTTACGCTGTTATCAACTTCTCCGCAGACAACCAAAAGAAGCAGCTTCTTCACAGCGTTCACTTCGATCCTTGGGTGAAAAGTGCATCAGCCCTGAAGAAGTATTACACTGACATTGCCATTTATAATCGACCAAACACATCAAGGACAGCCCACACTGATCCTGGACCATCCAAAACGCCGAGAAGTCCAAGGAAAGTTCGCTTACAGGTCAACAATGGGTTAAACACGGCTGCGCAGTGCGTACGAGGTACATTATGTATCCAATTTAAATTCTTTTCTTATCTTTAAACGAATTATAGGTATTACTGATGATTTTGATATTTTTTTCAACAGATTGGTTTGACAATGAAAAGAATTTGCTTGCGATTGCCAATCAGATTCCTGTGAATAAGTTGGTTCCATTTGGAATCCATCTCTGCATTAGATCGGAGGATATCAACAGATTAAAGAAAGAGTACAAAGAAAATGACGAGGAACTTCAGTTTTTCTTTATTAAGTTTTGGGCGAGGCGAGTGAAATCTTACCTGAAACCAGAGGCGAGGCTGGAACAGCTTACAAAGGCCATGAGTAGTATTGGTCTGCAGAAACAGGCCGAGATCGTCAAGAAGGTTTTCAAAAATAAAGAAGATTTGGATTGTGATCATTTTAATGACCACAAAGGAAGCGACAAGTAATACAGGTTTAATATATAACATGTACACTGATTTTTATCATATTTATTTTTCTTACTCCATGAAGATTTACTTATGTTTGTTTATGTATACATGTATATATAATTTTTCTCTTTTGCTTGTTCACTTGGTTTTTCAATCTAATTAGTTTGCCTCGAAATACTACGTACTCCTGAAATTACACTGTAGATTCATTTAACTGCATAAGTATATAGAGAACATTTAGAGAAAGGATAGAGTTACTTTTTAAAAAAAATTACTGAAATTGGTTATTTCGTTACGCCACGTTATAGTACGCTGCACCTTAAAACATGTTTACCATTTCTGAGTGAAACTGTCCAAGGAAGGCGTTATATCCCGTCATGTTCATTTATTGATATGACAATATGAAGCAATAAACTGAATCTAATGTCCCAGTAAATAATTTAGTAAGCTTAGATTTATGGAATTTTACTTTTTAAGGTCATAGGCAACGTAGTTTGAACTTTTTTGGGTTCTCCCCTGGAGTTGAAGAGTTCCACTAAATGAAGGACCTGTGTGCAGTATTTTTAATGTCTATAAATGGATTTGTACACCTCTTCTAAAACAATTTTCGAAGAAAAAAATTTGAAATTTATGTTTTATAATTTTTGTACATTTTTATTTGAATAATGCAAAAATTTTCAAAATTCGATATCTTTTCAAAACCTCTGGTAAGGCATGCTGATGTTTTGTCTATGAACATGAAATTATATTATAAGTTTAAATTTGGAATATCTTGGAAATCTATCAGTAGGTAAGGTACGTTGCGTATGTCCTTAAAAACTACAATGAACAGTGACTGCGTTTTGAACATTTTGCAATGTATGGCATATGGTGCATGTATATAATACTACTTCAAAATTTTTAAATACATTGATTAAATTTATAAATAAGTAAATAACATGTTATATAGATGTATGTCTCATGTTTTATTATTGTTTGCAGGTTTATTCAAGCGTAATGTCATCTTCATTAGAAAATCTTTACTGACGACAAGAGGTCTACCAATTTTTGCATACTTTTTCCTTTTTTAAAAAAAATTGACTGTTGCATTAAAATCATCCTGAAGAAGCCAGAGTGAGTGACAGTCTTCCACAACCTTCTTCTTAATTTACCGCTCTTCTTTTGACTTTCCTTCACTAAGGCATTCATGTGACGTATTATTCTATAATTATTATATCCCCGCTTGAAAAGCGGGAGGGTATACAATAATCGGTATGTCCGTCTGTCTGTCTGTACGTGCGTCCGTCTCTACCTCTGTCTGCTACGCTTTGGGGTACCCATCTCTTATCCGCAACTTCTCTTATACCGCCGAGTGAAATTTAAGGAAACTTTCACAGAATCTTTATTACATATTGCCATTGTGCACCTCCTATTTTACTTTTTGATCCAACACATATTTTGAGTTTCCCGACCACAGCAAAACACGGACTTTGCCATTATAACCATATGGGAGGCGGGGGTATCATGCATTTATTGAGCTCATTGCTCACAATACTTCGAGTTTCTATTAAATATACTACGAGTAATTCAATATATAGTAAAGTTTCTAACGTCAAGGAGTGGGCCATAGTAACAGGTATCAAAAGTCTATGGTTTAAGTCAATCATTTACTCTGTATCTGATGCAACACCGCCCGGGTGATTTCACAGTGTAATGAATATCGTAACAGTAGAAATAACATTATGTGTAAGATGGCAACTAGGATTGTAAAAGAATAGGGAAAAAACTGCAGTTCATGGAAGGCTTAAAGGGACATAAACACAGTTCCAACTGAATTTTTCAAACCAATTTTAATGTTTACAATTCCAGACTAAAGCATCATCTAATGATCAGCAAAAATTTGAACATAATTTGTTGATTAACAAACGAGATACAGAACTTAAAGTTCTTCATAATGTAAATAAGGCTCGTGTCTTGTTTTTGTTGACATATAAAGAATATCATATTTATAACAAAATGAAATTCACCAAATCAATAGAAGCAGTCTAATCGTATTTAGAATTGATTTCTTTATTGAAATCTGCTTTGAACAAACATGTTTTAGTATATTAACCTATGTAAACAAAAACAAGACACGGACCCTGTTTACGTAACAAAGGTTTTGGAGCTTTAAATCTTTCTTGTGTATCTCGACAACTGAATCACAAATTTTTGATGATCATTAGAAAGACCTAAGTTAAATATTTCTAAAAAATGGAAAACAAATTTGAAAATTTTTACCTGAAACTGCGTCAATGTCCCCTCAATAGACGTACGTTAAGATGATCTGAAATGAGTATCGACATGTAAAATCATCTAGAAGACGAGTAACATTTTTATGGTGACGTGTTAGGAATATCCTTACGATGCACTTCTTTTTAGAAAACAATTTGAAAATAATCAAAATAAACAATCATATTTTAAGGCATTATATTCAAAACAGACAAAGGTTTTTATGTGTATGACATTTTGTCGATGATATTAAAGAATTAACGGTTTTTACGACTTTACGTTTGAACCAACCCTTGCACATTGTTGCGTCTTTCAAAGGTCTGAAAACATTTTTGATTTAAAATAATTTTCACTGTTAAAATGATTAAAATATAAGAAGAAAGAAATAAAAACCACATTAATAATTTTATGAAAAGTATTTTATTGACAATGTACGAGGGTTGTCCCGTAAAATCGTGGACAAGTTGTCTAGTGTAAAAAATAAACATCACTGCGTTCTGAAATTTTCACTATTATTTAGAACATATTTTAGTAATATACACAGCAAATTTCAGATAAATATATGCATAAATAAACAAATTATGTGATTTTATGCCATGTATTGTATCACCTTACGGCGCATGGAGTATAACGTCAAAGTGTCTAAAACAGTGTCATGTTTTATCTTTGCTGAAAATGAAGTTGGATGAGTCCGACTTAAATTTAGGAATTTCATTGATACACATTCTTTAGTCTCCATAAACAATCGAAGAACCATTTGGCACCCTCATGCGATCTTCTGAAGATTTATTTGTAAGTTAGGGACAATATTCTCACCATCATTCAACTAATAGAAAATCTCATATCGGCGGTCTACTGTGACAGCGTGCTTTTAGGAGTTTGTCCGTATGTTTTGTACTCCCCAGGGACTCGATCAAATAAGACTTCGCTAAGAAAACTCCTATTTCATTTGTATACTTAAGATATGGTGATAATTTTATAATCTTTTTTCTTCTATGGTCATTTCAAGTCTCTAAAGGTGTCATTACAACATCGAATTAAAACGGAACTGCTCTCCGGTGCGCCGTAACGTCATAAAACGTCTCCATTTTTCGTGTGTTGTGTTTATCACTTTCCCATTTCGAATGCTCGAGAAACTGCCAAAAATTAACCAAATGCCTTAAAATTTTTACGAAGACTACAAAATTGATTGTGGAATTGAATTAGGATAAATTTAATTCAAATCTTATGTATTTAAAACTTTTATTTTGAATTCAAACTAGTGTATTCTTTAATAAAACCTTGGTTTTTTGTCCGTGCGCCGTAGGACAATATCCCGTGCACATTCAAGCATAATAAAATCTTTATTTTTGCCTATATTTTATCAAAAGAATTATCATGCACATAAATATGATAAATAAACATTTACTGAAATTTTCAGCTTAGTGCGCCCATTACTTTTCGAGAAAAACGTTTTGTCAACGATTTTATGGGACAACCCTCGTATATCCATGAATGAACAGCTGTTATATTCTAGCACCATTTCCCGATTTATCAAGGATATTTGTAAGCACCTGAATTCAGTTGTTCATGTTCTTGTCTATACTAAATAGGATTGAATATTTCTAACACAGTGTCCCTGTCGTCATACAGATCCCAAATTCATGATCACAGTTTTCTTAGAAAAATCAACTCTGTGTCCAAACGACTGGCTTCTGCGGGGCCTAGAACTCTTTAGTTTGTTCTGTGAACCAAGTCTCGAATATACTTCTTTGAGTCGATGCATACTTGATGTATCCGACAAAGCTCGTCTTATCTTAACGGAAAAAATATTTTCTTTTTCTTTAAAAATTGGACAATTTCGTTCCTTTGAGCCACTAAAAAATTGACAAAGCTTTTTAAATCTCGGTGTACTTTTTACAGCTGATAACACATGCACTGGCGCTTGTTCTATCGCTTTGTCAAGAGATGCAAGAATCTGATTCATCTCTTCTTCGGTCGATTCTTTCTCTGCTGTTCTTTTGAGTGATCTTTCTATCTTTTGAACATCTTCCTCCAATAAGGTTTTAGAGAAGTCCACATACATGCATACTGTAGCAGACAGTATATATGGAGTGTCTGGTATGTTAATACTAAGGACTGGTATTAATGGAATTTTTCTCTCAATTGTTTGTTTAAAAGTAAGGTTTAATCTTTCAACTAAGCCTGCTTTACTAAGAAATTCTTGGGATATGACGACCATTACATTTCTTGAATGAAGAGTTTATTGATCTTTCTAAGGAACAGTACACATTTTCTCCAACAATTGCGTAATCCTCTTCTTTCACGCAATGAATGTTTTTATTCTTTAACTCTGTTACAAGTTCGCAGACCCAGTTAGAAACCTCTTCCTCTTCTCCATGGGTCAGAATGAAAAGGTGTATTTCTTCCTTGAGAAATCTGGTCATGGTTCTCTTTAATATCTTCTAATTACCTGCAATAAAAACTTAACACTATATGACAGTGATACACGGTTTTAGAATGCATTTTCCAAGAAACAAAACAAAAAAAAACCCTCTCTTTTATCTTTTGATGAAATATATTGAGATAACAAACAGTATTGATGTTAAAAAGTCCATACAAATACGAAATAGGAGTTGAGCAAAGACAGACCTCCAAAACATCGGAGGTGGGATCAGGTGCCATAGAGGAGTGAGCATCCCCTGCCGACCGGTCACACCTACCATGTGATTCTTATCATGATTGGGAAATAACGGAAAAATCTGTCGTCAATTCAGTTTGTGACTTAACAATTAATATGAAAAACATCAGTCAGTATTTGCTGACAAGGTCATTGCATCGACCATCGAACTTAAGAAATGATAAGATGTATATGATTAATAAAGCATTTACTAGTAATTTGTCAAAAAGCGGATTTAAAAAAGACGTTTTTGGAAAAAAAGTCTTTTTTTTATCCTTGTCATCCCGATTGAAAAAAGAGATAAATCTTAATACACTTCCACTGGACATTATCTATATTAAATATTCAATACCAGAATTTGTCTACATCTTAAAGTGAAAGTAGATCAGGAAATGATTGTTTTTTTTTCTCTCGCACTAGTGTTTGTGAAGATCGTTATCAATTGTAATAATCAACACTCATGTGCACAGTTCATTTATCTATTAGTAGTTATTTTCTGGGGGGCAACCAAAATGCAATTCATAGCCATACTGCAAGGGAAATAAAGATTTGGCATATTTTAATAGACGCGGTAAATAAATATAAATACAGAATACCTTAATTTTATTCTCAGTAGTAGCATTGTAAATTAATTGCTTTCGCTCAAAACATCGAAACGTTGTTAAAAGGAAAGTAAACAGTTACGGAGTTTTTACTCATGAAATTGAAGGTTTTTTTTTTCCAATTATTTAAATGTAAAGTTAGGTATCCACAATTACCTGTCTGGAACATGTTGTTAGACATGTAACATGCGTTATTGTGTCCATGTTTCATTTTTTGCTGCTCTCCATCCGTTACGGCGCCATTATAAAATCTTAACATAAAAGGATAAAACGTACGCTCAACTAGGACCTCAGGTCCCCCGCAAATAGTTCGTCATTTTGCGTAGTAATAAAACATTTTAGGAACTCTTCAGACATTAAAGGCACAAAAGTAAATTCATCGATATCAATACGGAGACCTCAGGTCACCTTATATATTCATTGAATTTTATATGACAGTTTTCTTTGTCTTACTCAAAAATAATCATATTCATAACTTTTTACAGATCTTCTTTCTAATAAATATATATTTGCAGCAAAGTGAAAGTAATTATGAGGACCAGAGGTCACCTTATCTTATACATCAGTAGGGAGACCAGTAGTCACCTTATATTGTACATCATTAGAGGGATCATAGGTCACCTTAAATTTTAAATTAATAGGGGGGGGGGCAAAGGTAACCTTTTATTGCACATCATAAGAGGTAGCTGAGGATACCTTATATTGTGAATCATTTGGGGGAACAGAGGTCACATTATATTGAACATCAATAAGGAGACCAGAGGTCCCTTTATATTGTACATCAGTAGGGAGACCAGAGGTCACCTTATATAGTACATCTGTAGGGGGACCAGAGGTCACCTTATATTGTACTTCAGTAGTGGGGGGGCAGAGGTCACCTTATATTGTACATCAATAAGGAGACCAGAGGTCACCTTATATTGTTCATCAGTAGGGGGACCAGAGGACACCTTATATTGTACATCAGTATGAGGGACCAGAGGTCACCTTATATTGTACTTCAGTATGGGGACCAGAGGTCTTCTTATATTGTACATCAGTATGGGGGACCAGAGGTCACCTTATATTGTACATCAGTAGGGGGACCAGAGGTCCCCTTATATTGTTCATCAGTAGGGGGACCAGAGGACCAGAGGACACCTTATATTGTACATCAGTAGGGGGACCAGATGTCACCTTATATTGTACTTCAGTAGGGAACCAGAGGTCACCTTATATTATACATCAGTAGGGGAATCAGTAGTCACCTTATATTGTACATCATTAGAGGGATCATAGGTCACCTTGCATTTTAATTTAATAGGGGGCAAAGGTAACCTTTTATTGCACATCATAAGGGGGAGCTGAGGTTACCTTATATTGTGAATCATTAGGGGGACCAGAGGTCACCTTATATTGAACATCAATAAGGAGACCAGAGGTCCCCTATATTGTACATCAGTAGGGGGACCAGAGGACACCTAATATGACACGTGAGATCTAGAGGGGGACCAGTGGGCAGGTTATATTGTACTTCAGTAGGGGACATCAGTAGGGGGACCAGAGGTCACCTTATATTGTACATCAAAATAAGGAGACCAGAGGTCCACTTACATTGTTCATCAGTAGGGGGACCAGAGGACACCTTATATTGTACATCAGTAGGGGGACCAGAGGTCACCTTATATTGTACATCAGTAGGGTCACCTTATATTGTAGGGGGATCAGAGGTTACCTTATATTGTACATCAGTAGGGGGACCAGAGGTAACCTTATATTATACATCAATAAGGAGACCAGAGGTCCCCTTATATTGTTCATCAGTAGGGGGACCAGAGGACACCTTATATTGTACATCAGTAGGGGGATCAGATGTTACCTTATATTGTACATCAGTAGGGGGACCAGAGGTAACCTTATATTATACATCAGTAGGGGACCAGAACATCAATAAGGTCCCCTTATAGTAGTCACCTTATATTGTACATCATTAGGGGGACCAGAGGTCACCTTATATTGTACATCAGGTCCCCTTATATTGGACATCAGTAGGGGGACCAGAGGTCACCTTATATTGTACATCATTAGGGGGACCAGGAGTCACTTTATATTGTACATCATTTGGGGGACAAGATGTTATCTTATATTGTACATCAGTTGGGGGACCAGTGGTCACCTTATATTGTACATCAATAAGACAACCAGAGGTCACATTATATTGTAAATCAGAAGTGGACCAGATGACACCTTATATTGTACATCAGTAGGGGGACCAGAGGTCACCTTATATTGTACATCAGTAGGGGGACTAGATGTCACCTTATACGAGGACTGTTCAATAAATAATGTCCTCGGTGCTCGAAAAGAAACAAAAGACCCTTTTTCAAAAATTTAGTTATAAACATTTAACCTAATATTATCTTTTAATTTAAACACATGTCCGTAACATTTGTTATCCAACTGTTGATTGTTTTAGAAATCATTTTTGGGTATGACCCTTTGTATACTGGATTATGGCAGATCCTTTGATTTCCTGGACTTGTTTCTTCCTTTTGAAAGGCGTTGTTTTTTTTTCAAGTTTGGAAACTTGGAAACAAGCCAAAAGGCGAAAAGATCTGGCGAATATTGTTAATGTGAAAGAACATTAACTTTCTGTTTATCCCCAAGACTCCTTTACTCCTCGGGGCGTGCGGGTTTGGACGCTGTCATGAAAAAATCTAATGTAGTGGATTCCTGATTCTCATTAACTTTTTGAAATTTGGCAAAAAAAAAATGCTTTCTAGATTCTTCCAGAAATTAAACTGCCTCCCCGAATAAGAATTTGAACAACAAGACCACTAATATTTAAGAAAATTACATATAAATCTGTCTTTGTGTTCCTGCCATTCTTTGCTCTTCTCAGACCTTTGCTGTTTTTGTCAAGTACATCTTATTGTAAATTTTGTCTTGAGGATTTTAAGCAATAGATTCAACTTTCATTATCTGTTTGAAATTCAAACAATTAACTACAATTACTGATATTTTTAATAATTGTTTAGATATTCTTACACGCAGTCGTTTTCACTCATTTTTTAAAACATAGGGTGACTTTTGAGTACTAAGCTTCTTTTTTTTTTTTACTGTCAAACGTTTCTTTAAAACAGTGTGAACTACTCCCGAAATGGTGTCTATCAAATTTGCTATGTGTCATATAGTCAAGCATACACCATCAATTATTATTTGTTGAAATTTGGCAAACAGTTGATTTTTTGATTGTGTACTGCTTAACGTCCCTCTCCTGAATATTTCACTGATATGGAGACTTTTTCACCATTGCCGGTGAAGGGCTGCAAATTTAGGCCTATGATTCGGCTCTTACGGCCTTTGAGCAGGGAGGGATCTTTATCGTGCCACACCTGCTGTGACACGGGCCTCGGTTTATACGGTCTCATCCGAATTGAAGGACTGCCCCATTTAGTCGCCTTTTACGACAAGGAAGGGGGTACTGAGGACCTATTCTAACCCGGATAAACACGGGGCTGGCAAACAGTACATTAGTTGTTTAATTTTTTTTTGTTTGCAAGTACGGTATCCATTTTTGATGCCCATTATAATTTTTTATCATTGACATCCATCTGCTCAATTGTCTACGAAAAAGACATTGATTGCTGTAAATTTTACATATTTCAGTGAGTATTTCTTTGGGATTCTTAACAAGTTTTACAGCAGCTTTAATGGACGGTTTAATTTCACTCTAGTTTACTGATTCTTTTCCATTGCATTCATTTTTTATGCAGTGTCTTGAATACCCTTGTTTTCCAGCTTCTTGCGATGAAACAATGTGATGAAATGTGGTCACATAAACTGTTATAAATTCATTAAAGATTCAGTAATGAGAGAAAGTCAAGCTTAATGCCATATGATATCTGTATCGTATGTCATAGAATTCAGGACATTCAGGGGAACGACAAAGAAGAAACCGGAAGAAACTTTATATTTATATCAATAAGAAGACCAGATGTAAGTCAACAGGGAGACAAGAAGACATCTAATATTTTGCATAAATATTTTATAAATATAAAAGCACTGTTTTGTTCCCCTACGCTCTATATAGGTATTAAGTAGCCAAACAAAGCATGCTAAGTATATAGTTACGATGATCAATGGTGCTTTTTTTTCAAAATTGCGAATTTCATGGCCTCTGGTTCAAAGCGCGAACCAAATTCAATTGTTTTAAAGTTTTTACATGATGTTCAGATGACCTATAAGACCCATAGGCCTCTTGTCGTGTTCTTATAAGAGAACCTCTAGTATCCCCTTAATATGCATTTTATCTGCAACCTCTGGTCCGCCCTTATTTTCTTTTGAGATGTCTCTTGGTTAAGACGGGTCTAGAATCGTTGATGTCTTATCCCTGCATTCATATAAATTTTATCTTATGTCTGGTTTCCTTTAAAATGTACAACAATGGGGACCACTGGTTTCCCTATTTATTTACAAACAAGGTGACCTCTGGCCCCCCTTGTGTTGTTTCCCCTTATGATGTACAATATAATCTGACGTCTGGTCTTGTACAGTATTAGGTGACCACTGGTCCCCTTTCTGTTGTACAATATAAAGATGACTTTTAGTCTCCATAATGAAATAAAATATATAGTGATCTTTGGTTAACCTACTGATGTACAATATTAGGTTACCTCTGGTCCATCTAGTGAAGAACGTTGAAACTGACCTGAAAGCTCTGCCACCCTAAGGATGTACAATATAAGGTGACCTCTGGTCTCCCTACTGATGTACAATATAAAATATCCTCTGGTCTTCCTACTGATGTACAATATAAGATTACCTTTGGTCCCCCCCACTGATGTAAAGTGCAATATAAGGTGTCCCCTGGTCCTCCTACATACTGATGTACAATATAAAGTGACCTCTGGTCCCCCTACATATGTACAATATAAGGTGTCCTCTGGTCCCCCTACATATGTACAATATAAGGTGACCTCTGGTCCCCCTACAGATGTACAATATAAAGTGTCCTCTGGTCCCCCTACAGATGTACATATATAATTTTATTTTATCCTCTGGTCCCCCTAAAGATGTACAGTATAAGGTGACCTCTGATCCAGCTACTGATGTACAATATATGGTGACCCGTGGTCCCCCTTCTGATGTACAATATATGGTGACCCCTGGTCCCCCTACTGATGTAGACTATATAAGGTGTCCTCTCATCCCCCTACTGATGTACAATATAAGGTGGTCCCTGGTCTCCCTACTGATG